GCCGTGACCGTGATGACACCAGCCAACTAGCAGAGCCGGCTGTTTGATTGCCTATCAAATTACACCGTCATGTGAGTCGTATAAACGCTTACTAGATTCAATTGAAGCCCACGGGTCTCACATTCGTTAGACCTTACTAGCAGCAGGAAGATCCTCGTTTAGTAGGTCTTATCAACCACGTAGACATTGGGTCGCGTCACAGTCTCTGGAACTTATAGATGCTCGCCGGAAAATTCCGGCTGGAAGCAAACACGATGAAACTCGCAAAGAGCTCCGGGCACACTCCGTGCTAGCTTGAAAATAGACCACGAATCCTGATGGTCACATCGTGCATCAGAGATGGAACTGGCCGTTGCCCTTGGTAACCATCGTGTGTGTTTCAGCTTATCCGGACAACAGGCAGCAAAAGAGATAGTGTTAGTGAAACTATACGTGACCAGAGTGGACCGCCTATCAACAACTAGTCAAAACGCTTGGAGCTTTGGGCTGATCACGTTGAAAGGCAATTTAATCGGCCGAAATTGTTAGATTTCCCGCCAGCCAATGAGCGCCCCGCTCCTTGGGCTGTCCATTTGGATCCAACCTCTCGCTCAGAAGTCGAACGTGAGATTAGACTGCTGAAGTTGAACAAAGCCGCGGGACCAGATGGTCTTCCTCCAGTCCTCTTCAAGTTTGGGGACCTGCCCTTTTGGATGAACAATAAGAGTTACTAGTAAAACTGTGTGAGCATGAGGTTGTCCCAACTGACTGGAGTCACACCGTCTTAGTCGTAATTTTAAAGTAAGACACACGATCGGAATGCGGCAACAATAGAGGAATCAGTCTGATCTCCATCGCCACCAAATTTCTTGCCTCAGTCATCCTTCACAGAACGACTGGCACTCGTGAAAGCCAGATCCAAAAAGAACAAATCGGCTTTCATCGTAGTTGTGGCTGCATTAACCACCTCTCCACTTTGCGTCAGTTGTTGGAGCACCGTCACATATATTGGCGGCTCACAGTAAAAGTGCTTTTCGATATCAACGGTGCCTTTGATTCAGTAACTACAAGTGCACTTTGGGGCTGTCTATTCAGGAAAGATGTACCCAAGCAATATTTAAATATTACCCGGGCATTATAAGAGCGTAGCTCCGACAGAGCGGGGGCTTACTGCCAGCTGTCGCCACCCTTTAATAAATCCAATGATGTGAGACAATAACGCCAGTTGTCACCGTTCCTCCTCAACTTCGACAGTGAGGAAGTCATAGAACCAGCGTTCACAGGGCACGACCCAGAAGTGTAGAACTGCTCCAAGAGAAACGATTTCTTGACTTGGAGTATGCAGACCACACTGCCTTCGTCTGTGACGGCTCTCAGACGTGCCAAGCCGCGCTGGACAGATTAGTACTGGCTGTCAGTCGCTTCGGGCTTAGCTTTGCTCCATCGAAGTGCAAAGCGTTCCTCAACGATTGACCTGGACCGCCTACTGCGCTGATCCTTGGTGAGGATCTGCTAGAAGTCGTTCACAAATTTAACTAACTGGGAAGTTGTATCAGCGCCTGTGGGATTAAAGAAGAGCTCACTAACCGTATAGAAACTGCTCGTGGCGCCTTTGCTAAGCTTTGCCAATTATGGTGCCGCAGCAACATCACTCCCGCTCTGAAGGGTAGAGTGTACAATGCAGCGATACTTTCGACCCTACTGTACGGTTGTGAAGCCTCGCCTCTAAGATGGGCGGACCGGAAGAGGCTAGTTAATTTGACCACCGGTGCCTTCGCAGTTTGGCTCACATCCGGTGGAAACACCGCATGAGTAACGATCATGTTCGACGCCTTGTCTACATCACAGAAATAGGAGCTGAACCGCTCAGTACCGTCAGTTCACGCGCCAGGCGCCTGTGGCTGCGCCACGCGTTGCGCATGCCAGCCCACCGACTTCCGCGACGTGCATTGTTTGCTCACTGTTGATGTGGATGAAAGGAGAGGAGGGTTGGCTAAGCGATGACTTGTTCGAGGGGAATGAAGGTCCTCACTTCTGTGGTGGCCTCGGTTGGAACGTCACGGCTCCATCGTTGGGGTCCAAAAGACAATGAACACGTTTGGCTAGATCCACTTGCTGACATGGCAAGTAGCCGACCACAGTGGCGTTCAGGTTGTGGGTTTATATGTCCGTCCCATCCCTTTTAGCCTCACCCTCAAACCAGGATCTCATACCGTATAGTAATATAATTTTACATAATAATTTTCTTTTTGCCTAGTAGCCAGCTAGTAGCTTACTGGAACGATGCTCATCCGTTACTGGTAGCTCGACTGGCATGCAACTGTTTTATTTATTTTCCTTTTTCTTTATTTATTGCGGCACAGTAGCTGAGGTGTTTCCCACGTCTAGCTAACGTATGTAATGAAGATGTTGATGATGGAAGCGCACGCATCGTGCTTCAGTTCCGTGTGCAATAGTGCCTTTTCCTGCACCTGAGCGTCCGCTCTTTCGAGCAATCCAAGGAACTCACGTTGATCAAATTTGTCTAGAATTCGCAACACCTAAAAGCAACTTCAGTTTGTCAAAAACTCCAACTTCTTCGTGTTCTGGCGATTTTTACCGGGTGCTGCATTCCAGCACTAAGTTGGCTGTAGCAGAGTGGTAGGAGTATCCTCGTCGAATTTATTTGCTATAATAAATACATTTGTTGGCGTCATCCGTGTCTAATGGCAGTGCGGCTGCAACCTATGCACCTGCGTTTGTCCAGACATGTAAATGAGCTGCCGCAAACTGGATATAGACACGTTAGACCTCATGAACAATAGTACCAACAACATGTATGAATATTCTTTAATGGTTAGGCTAACGGCTATTTTCTCAGGCATGGGAATAATTATCCAAGGCCCTTTGTTAGAGTTTTCCCCAACGATAAGACGTAGCAGCCACAAATCTTGGGCATCCATATTTGAAGAGGCCAAAGTAATTGGGATGCAATTTCCATTAGTACGGTAGCCAGCTTGAATTTTTAACGTAACAAGTGGTACAGGGAAATATTTTGTACTGAAGTGTTGCCTTTTGTAGGCACAGTTTGGTTTTCGTAGCTGAGGTTAAAGCTCGCACGGCATGCGGAAGCGTTCGGTTGTTAACTTCAATCATTTAGTGTAGCAGATTGGTTCAATTAATCTGCTGCCCGAGGTACGATTGTCGCGCAACCATAATCAATGACAGGGGGCAATACCAGATTTTCGCTGCTTACGGCCTCATTGGAGCAACAACTGTTGCAATCCTACGTCAACTACGTCTCGCTGCTCCCTGTCAAACATGCAGCTTTCTAAAAGGTGTGCACTGTCGTGCTGATATTCAAGACCTTGCACGGCTGTCATCCATGTACCCATCCGGTTGTACATACCGCTGTGTATCTTGCTGTAGCCAAAAGCTATTTGGCACCGATCTGCATAGTAAGTCTCTGGTGCAGCCATTAGGTGCTCCTGGAAGAAACAGTAGTTACTATGCGCCTAGTCCTTTCCGCTGTAACATGCTGAGACGCTGATGTACCATTACCGTTGGCTTTATCTTCTTTTTAGTTTACCCAGAAGCTTGGCCATGTTTAATACAAATTCTAGAAGGTGCCTCGTATAGAGGTGAAATAATGCTACTGCATTGCACTAAGTACGTAGTTAAGCATTTTTCTAGACACAAACTGTAGCCGAGCGATAGTTACAATGGAGAGGGAAGAAAGATGACCCAAAGAACAAAACGAAAAGCTTTAGTATGAAACTGTTCAGATATACAGGAAAATGATGCGCAAGAATCAACCGATTTTCCTAGTGTCGGTTAAGTTAAGGTTGGCGGAAGTACACTAGGAATTACAGCTCTACTCATTCTAATAGTTAAACTGTGAAACGGAGCAGGCAACATCTACATCAACATGTTACTCGTTAGTTAGCCACCTGCCGGTTTTGTTCAATATGCACGGATGCAACATCCAACTTAACCACGTCCAGCATATTGCTAAGTTACCACCAAGGTGAGGTAGCATGGCTTTTACGTACTGTAATAGGTACAATGTTTGGAAGCTATGGTACTGGTAAGTTTTGGTAAAATATGGTAGCTTGAGGTAGGACAGTGTAGTCCAACTGCAGTGCAGAAGAATGGTACATGCAACAACAAACATCAGCATAGGGGCATTCGTATATGGGCGTCTGTGTTCGAATTACATGTAGGGAAAATAAGTGCAACTGCGTCTTTGCAGCAATGGTGGGTGGTTGTCACTTGCTGCAGCACTTGATGACTTAGTGTGGTGGCAGTGTAAATGTCCTCCCGTCCGATATTGCGAGAGAACCAGGATTCCGTTCTGACTCACCTAGCTCTATAACGTCTGGCCGATGTAATGTGCACCGTCGCTTCTCAGTTGCGTAATAATAATAAAATAATAATGTACCAGCTGTACTCCGTAACGGCGCTTCGCTGCCGCGCACCACCACCAGTCGCGCGCGGGCTGAGTATACCGCGAGGACGCCCACCCCTATACGGATTCGAACCGGTGGCCTTATGGTTGCAAAGCAAACGTGCAGACCACTCAGCCACCGGCCGACTTCTCAATTGCGTACCCTAGGTGCCACTTTCAGTCAGCAATGCCCCGTCTTACTGTCGACTTTCTCGGCATAGCCCCATCGTGGCCTTGTTGATGACTGGCAAGGCCGGCTGGGTTAAGGCACGCACGACTGCGTACACCACAGCACTACGTGACAGTGGTCGACTAATTGTAGTCCGCCGATAGCTGATATGTGCGTGCTGCTGGTCTACCTATCCGATGCACTAGCTATATTGTTTGCGCTTGGGCAACCGTACACGCAGTGAGATAACGCCTTGTGCAGCACTTAGTTGCCACCTCCTTCCAAACACTTAGGTCAATACTTACACTGGACAGACTAAACTTGATATTGTCTTGGTAGTTTAGCAGCATGGAGATTCCCCGGTTTGCCTGTGTAAAATTTTAACTAAAATTATTTCATTGTACACTTAGGCAACCGGTGCGGTTTGTTGAACTGATTGCTGAGTTCGAATGCTTGACTTGCTCATCGCCATTTTTTGCTTGGCGCTCGTTTCGGTTGCAACGCGCAACTGCCCTGTGTGCTGTACTTGCTCCGTTCCCCTAGCTAGAGCGTCCACGGTGTCGTTCTTTTATAGCTAGATAACAGGGAATCTTTTACTGTACCAATAAAAGTTTCCCTGCAACTCGATCTGTCTTCTGGAATCGCTCTCTGGGCTCCCGGAATAGGCAACCCTCTAAATTGGTGACCCCGAATCCGGATCAATCTCCGCGCCGGATATTTAGAACTTTTCTCCGGTGAGCTCGTTCCATTTATTTTTCATATTTTCCGGTTTTATTTTTGCATACGGTAGCCTATTTTTTCGCGTCATTTTTTCAAATCATGGAATCTGTAGACCATAACGTAGAGTCTCTACTAAGCGTTGTATCTCTCTCAGTTCCACCTTTTTGGGACATGGATCCTGTTTTGTGGTTCGCTCATCTTGAGGCTGAGTTTTATAACCACAGAATCACTTCCGACTACGCGAAGTATTGCAAGCTCCTGTCCTATCTCCCCAAGGAGATATCAATGCAGGTTCGTGACATCATCATTTCTCAGACCGAAAACCGCTATGAGGCTCTCAAAGAGGCCACGATCAAGCGTGTTATGCCCTCTGAGAAAGTTCGCCTGCAGCAGCTTTTCAGGGATCTGCAACTGGGCGACAAACTGCCCTCAACCCTGCTACGGGAGATGCAGCAACTCCTTGGTTCTTCAACCATGGATGAGACTTTACTTCGCGAACTATGGCTACAACGGCTACCGGAAAACACACAAGCGATTCTCGCTACAGTGAGCTCCGTTCCGCTCACTCAACTAGCAGACTTAGCGGATCGAGTTATTGAACGATCACAGCCACAGGCCAACGCCAGCAAGGTCCATGCCGTCGCGTCCCAGGGCACTTCTATCACTGGCTTACAGTCAACCATAGAAGCCCTGCAAACACAAGTCGCGACACTTAGTCGCCAGGTCCAGCAGCTTACTATGGACCGTCGTCGTCATAGCCGATCAAAATCGCCCTGCAAACGTTCTAAGTCTAACAACAGGCAAGCTAGCTGTTGGTACCACCAGCGTTTTGGTACCGCAGCTCGTAAGTGTGTCAAGCCTTGCAACTTCGCCGAGAAGCAGGGAAAACTTCTCGGCCGGTCCGTAACGGCGACGGACGCGACTGGCCAACACCAAAGTCGCCTCATCCGTGTTAGGGATTTAACTTTCGGCACCGAGTTTCTAATCGACACTGGAGCCGAAGTTAGCGTTATACCCCGTGGCCCACATGAGGTCGTCTCACCATCGCCGACCAAGCTGCGTGCCGCCAATGGCACACCAATCGCAACTTTCGGCGAAAAGCTGCTAACGCTCAATTTAGGCCTCCGGCGAACCTTTCGCTGGCCTTTCATAATCGCTGCTGTGCCTTTCGCTATCATAGGCATAGACTTTCTGCAACGCTTCGACCTCATCGTCGACGCTAAAAGGAAGAAGCTTATCGACTCCAGGACACAGCTCAGTATTATCGGGACCAGCGCCAACGTGGCTGCTATCACTCCCATTCGTGTCCTAGCTCAAGCTTCACAGCCTTTTCTAGAGCTTTTCAGCAAGCACCCTAAACTCGTTCGCGTCCTGAACGACTTGCCTCCTGTGACGTCGAACGTCATGCATTACATTTGCACTAAGGGCCCACCTGTTTCGGCCCGCCCTCGCCCACTAGCCCCGGACAAGCTCAAAGCTGCTAAGGCGGAATTCGAGCAAATGCTCGAACTGGAAATCATCCGCCCGTCTAAAAGTCCATGGGCATCACCATTACACATGGTGCCGAAGAAATCCGGTGACTGGCGCCCTTGTGGTGACTACAGGGCACTTAACAAAGTTACCGTCCCGGATAAATACCCTATCCCGCACATGCACGACTTGACCTCAGCTCTAGCTGGCAAGTCTATCTTTAGCAAAGTCGACCTAGTTCGCGCCTATCATCAGATACCTGTGGCGCCAGATGACATTGCTAAAACAGCAGTCATCACACCATTCGGCCTTTTCGAGTACCTCAGAATGCCTTTCGGCCTCAGCAACGCTGCTCAAACTTTTCAGCGTTTCATTCATGAGGTAACGCGAAGACTCGAAGGCGTTTATCCTTATCTAGATGACATTCTTATCGCGAGCTCTTCTGATGAAGAACATCTTCATCACCTCGACGCTCTCTTCCAACGCTTAACCCAGCATGGGGTTACCGTCAACCCCGATAAATGCGAGCTTGGCCAAAGTTCCATCGACTTTCTTGGCCACCGCATATCCGCCTCTGGTATTGAAGCCCTGCCAGACAAAATCCAGGCACTGAAGGACTATCCTGCTCCCAGTTCCTTCAAGCAGTTACGCCGATTCCTTGGCCTGGTTAACTATTATAGACGTTTTATTCCTAACTGCGCGAGCATTGTTCAACCAATGACTGACTTGCTCCGCGGTAAACAACGCTCTTTTCATTTTACAGACGACGCTAAATTGTCTTTCGAGAAGCTTAAAGACGCTATCTCCAACATAGCGCTTCTCGCCCATCCAGACACGTCTGCATCACTCTCTCTGACAACTGACGCATCAGACACTGCCGTCGGTGCAGTTCTTCAACAACTCATCGACCGTCGATGGATACCTCTAGGTTTCTTCTCAAAGCGCTTACAACCTGCCGAATCGCGATACAGCACCTTCGGTAGGGAACTGTTAGCTATCTACCTAGGTATCCGACATTTCCGTCATTATCTCGAAGGTCGACATTTTACAGTCTTCACCGACCACAAGCCATTGATCTACGCAATCAATGGCGCAACAGACAAGTACTCGCCGCGGGAAACTAGACACCTAGACTACGTTTCTCAGTTTACGACAGACGTACGTCATGTCTCAGGTGCTCTCAATCCCGTCGCGGATGCGCTTTCACGCATTCAGCAGATCAGCTTATCGCCTGGCACCAACATTGATCTAGCCGCTATGGCTGCTGCCCAACAAGCTGATCCCGACATACGCAAGCTACGACGCAACATCACTGAGACGATCACCATTGATCGACTCAAGCCAGCATACCTTGACAAGTCTGACTCGCCGGTGCAACAAGCACCTTCACAGCCCGTGCCATCACAGCCGGCACCGCAAACGCAGACGAGTCAGTCCGCTCCAGCAGAACCGACAAACACAACCGACAGCACTCCTACCCGCCCTACTCTCAATCGACGCGGTAGGAAACTCAAGCCTCCAGTTCGTTTTTCAGACTTTGTCAGCACTTACTATTTTACATAGAACGTGCCTTAGAAATTTTCTGCTCTTACTAAACGTTTTTGAAAATCCACAAAAAAGACCAAAACGTTTTGAAACTACCAAAAAAGAGCAAAATCTTTTGAAAACCCAAAAACAGCTTTGCACGTTTTTCGCTTTACACTCTTTTGTGTATTGCTATGCATTTATGCTGCTTTTTCATTTTGCTTTCCATATACACCGTCGGTTGGTTGCACCTCGGTTTCACTTTCCGCTGGATCTCCGCACGTCAACTGGAAGTTCAACAATCTTCCTGCTCAACTGCCTACGTGAACTTTATTAACTGTCCCCCCCACAAACAGTTTTTTTACCGTTTCGACACCGTAGGGAGGACACGGGTGGGAGCCCGCTAGGGTCCGATTGCATGGTTCTCCCCCAGCAGCTGCATCGGGTTTCACAACCTGGTCTCGCAGAAGGCTGGCCCGCGACGGACAGTCCTCACGTAGATCGAAGGACTGCTTACACAGTCCCTTCTGGGAGAGGGCTATGTAGCAGTCTGGAGATTCCCCGGTTTGCTTGTGTAAAATTCTAACCAAAATTCTATAATTGTACACTTAGGCAACCGGTGTGGTTTGTTGAACTGATTGCTGAGTTCGAATGCTTTACTTGCTCATCGCCATTTTTGCTTGGCGCTCGTTTCGGTTGCAACGCGCAACTGCCCTGTGTGCTGTGCTTGATCCGTTCCCCTAGCTAGAGCGTCCACGGTGTCGTTCTTTTATAGCTAGCTAACAGGGAATCTTTTGCTGAACCAATAAAAGTTTCCCTGCAACTCGATCCGTCTTCTGGAATCGCTCTCTGGGCTCCCGGAATAGGCAACCCTCTAAACATTCCGCCTTTGCAAAGCTGCGACTCTACACTTCGTTATGTACCTTATGGAGGCAACAACAACAAGTATTTGCGAAGAGGCGATCAAGCGCAATAGGGTGGCTCTGTAACTAGTACGTTCCGATCTTACAGCATAGTTTCTGTTGAGCTAGTGTTATGCCTTTGAAGCTGTAATAGAGATCACTTCAGCTACCTCATGAACGTAGAACGAGCATGCAAGTTTCTTGCGTTGTGTGCTTAGCGGCGATTGTTCAGATGGTACACTTCGCATTGGTCCATATAGCTGGACGCTGATTAGTTACTTTTAAAGTGAAAGAACATCGATATGGCTAATGTTTCAGTGTTCACTTATGTTTCACTTTGGCTTAATTTGCGCCTACCTTATGGAATCAGAGCCAAAATGAAGACAGTGGAAGCAATAAACAGTGGGTCATTTCAAGAAGTGGGCAAGATAGTAAGTCTCTTAGATATGAGGATGTGCCCTGAAGAAACCGAGTTCTTAGCTGATTATACCTAGCACAAGCAAAAGAATTCCTACGAAGGAAAAATGAGATGCACAGCGGGGACTAGTAGGATAATAATAATAATTAGTATTATTATTTCTTTTGCCGATCGATCACACGACCTCCTTATTGTAGGGGTCAGTCTAGGCCGTCTCAACAACGAGGAATCAAATGGGAGTCTAATGTGGTTTTTGCAACTGCGCAGGAAGGATATGTTTCACCTCGTAACTTGGTCACTGTAACTACCAATTGTCACCCAGTGCACCTACAGCTGGGTACGGCATCTGACATTACCGACATCTCCAGCTGGACATGGGCGGCTATCGGTAGACCGATAGTGCGCAATGTGGAAAATACTACAAAGAATCCATCGAACAGTATTCCGCGGTTATACGGTTAATTTTCTTATGAATAGGGTTACACTAACGATATTCGAACAGCCGCTAGGCACTTTTCTGACAACCAGGAACTAAATATACTTGGTATCGAGTGAATCACTGAGTTGAACATGTGAAGTGTTTATGCTGTATCTGTGTGCAATCCAACCACGGAACTTTTATCAGGTCCGGGCACGCCGCGATACTTCCACAATCGCCAACGACATGCATGAGCTATTCTCAAATGTGTTGAAGCCCACACTTGGCTGCTATACCAAATTCACGACATGGCTTTATTTGAAAGATGGCGCAAAGCCTGTTTTCTGACCCAAAAGACCGGTGCCTAAGCTTCTTAAGCTGGCTGACAACGGATTGGAGCGCTTGGAGCAATCAGAGGTGATATCCAAAGTGAAACACTCAGACTGGGCGACGCCCATAGTGATTGTAAAGAAAAGCGACCGAAACGATTCGCTTAGGTGGAAATTTTTCAACCGGCTTGAACGCAACCGTGAGTCTCCAACAATGCCTGCTGCCAATACCGGAGGATCTTTTCACCAAACTCAACGGTTGTAAGCGACAATTCGCTTTGAAGGGCCTTGCGCCAACGCGTATCCAACCAGTCAAAAAAAGAACACTGGACAAGACGACGGTACTGTTAACAGACAATCAGGAAGCAAATATAATACAAACATCAGTAGTAGCGCTTCCACTCAACGCAGTTTCAAAGAAATACAATTCGGTCTGAGACCAACAAGAAAGGGTTCAGATCGTCAATGCCATACAGAATACAGAACACTGGTTACATAGGACAAGTGAAGTCCATGCGATTGGTCAAACACAGACCGGATGAAGGCCGGCTGCGTGAAATGAGAGTGCGGGGGATGATAAGTACATTGCTCATAATCAGTGCGAGAAAGCATGTAAACACCTGTAGCGGGGGTACGTGCGGAGAAAATTGAGGTGAAGGTCGCGCTGCTAACTCGATAATTGGGGTAAAAGTGCAGTGATAATGGCGAAGATAAGAGGGAAGATAATTGCGCTCGGAGTAGTCCACCCTTGATGGTTGACAGATGGCTGAGTTGAACACAAAGCATCGAGAATCTGTAGCGCCCAAAAAGATAACTCTTATCTTTCATGTACAATTTACTTGTTGACCGATTGTACATTACTTCTTCTTATTTTAATCTTACAACCGGCTCGACACACAACTGCCTTGTAAGTTCCCGCGCTCACGTGTACGCTCTCGCCTCGCTTCATCCGTCTGCTTCTTGTTGTAGCCCATCGAATACAGTCCACTGTGTCCGACTCCAATTGCCTTCTGATATCCGCACTTAATTCCGCGCATCGTCTCGGACTAGTATTAACTAGTCCTTCAAATTGGTGACCCCGATTCGCACGCGCGAATTCAACTTTTTCTCGTTTGTATTTTTTGGTGAGTTCGTTCCTTTTTCTCGATTATATACCTGTATTCATTTGTTTCTTGCGTAATTTTAGTACTTTTATCGTATTTTGTTCATTCTTTATCTTTCGACCCACATTTCGAGAGTGGCATCTGAGTCGTTTCACAGCGTAACCATGCTTACTTTGGCTGTTCCAAGTTTCATGGAACACAGTCCAGAAGTTTGGTTTAAGATATCCGAGATCGAACTAGAAAATAAGGGCGTAACGGCGGACCGTCCAAGGTACAATCAACTCATCCCACGCCTTCCTCCGTGGGTAGTGACGCTGATTGAGGACATTACACTCCGCCCATCGAACGAGGCAAAGTATGAAACGATGAAGCAAGCGATTTTGAAAGAGTTACGGCCCAGCGCACGTGCTCGATTTGAGCAGCTCAATCATCTCAAGCTTGGAGATCGCAAGCCGTCGGCATTGCTCCACGATCTTCATCGCTTTGCTGATCCCTTATTCTTGAGCGAAG